AGAAGCATGAATTGACTGTTCAAGTGCATAAATTAGGGAACTACCACCACCAGCTAACACGCCAAAACTGGTCAAAAACTAAAAATAAACAAAATTGTGTTTAGTAACTCAATGAAATATAATGTAATTAATTTAAATTTTATAAAGTAAACAATTTTTTTAAACTAGCTTAACAAAGATTCTGATATGATTAAAACTGTTTTATAAAAAAATTCTTAAAGAACAGTAATTAACTATTTAACTATTCAGTAATTGAAATATGGTTTAATAACTTTAAAAAATATATGAATATTGCATAATATAATTTTTATAACTAATATCTTTAGTAGGCTGCTAAAAATATACCGATATGTTTTTACAAAAAGAAGTGACAAAGTGACCTACTTATAATTATGTGTATACTGTGTATATTCATACTAGTGAATTTATTAAGCTTTTTTTATTTATAAAAAAAAATAATAATAATAGAATCAATATAATAGCGTAATAATTAAATTAGTAGTCATAGTAATTAAGGAAAGCACCTATACATTTAAGTTTAGAAAAATAATAATTTCAAATTTATTTGACTTAAGATAAATTTCTATTATAATTGTTTATTAATATTGTTAGCTACATCAATAAAAGTTATTTTTTATTTACCAAACAAATAATTTAAGAAATTTAGAAATTAATTATATTTACTAATATTAAGTTTTATTCCTAGGTTTAATTGCTTGTGCATTACTTTTGTGAACAATAATAGTTTATACTTAACTAATCAAAAATTAATTCCACTTTTAAAATAATGTAATAATATGTTCTGTGATGTATTTAATAAATTTAAAGTATTAAAAAGTATAAATATATGGAATCATTTTTTATCTGCATAATATTGTAAATTAAGTTTTGAATATATTTTGAGTAAAAAATTGAACATTTGGATACTATTTCATTTAAAATTCAAAAATGCATATTTATGTACAATCAACTCAAATATCATAAAAATATATCTTCTGAAAATTGTATTTTATAAGATTTTATAATAGAATTAGATTGTAAATAATATTAAAGTTAATTGGAAATAATAAAACAGAAATATATTTCAGCCTTGTGACCATTTTAAGTATTAAAATAATGTATATTAATACATAAACTTATTGATAACAATTAAATTTTTTATTAACAAAACATATAACCAATAAATAATATCGAAATAAGAATATGAAACAAGAACATGCAATACATTTTATGATTATACATTTATATTATGTCAAACATATTAGTATAAACATTATGAAGCAGAATTCTAAAATTTAGATCGAATATTCTAATTACCATCCCCATATAAAACTATTGACCTTAACACACTGTAATTGACCATCACAATGTACAAAATGATAGACTCCAGATTTACAGTAAACGGGTGTTGTTGGGCGTTAGGCATGATATGACAGCCATAGAAACTTGGAATACTTAATCCACAACAAAGGTGGACGACGTGCAGCGTTAGTAGTTGGGTGAAAAATAGATGTGGATATAGGAGACACGAGCTACTTACAAATTTATGGTTTTTCGACCACCTAGAGGCGGCCTTAAAAAATGAGAAAGTGCTCGTCATCGGTGCGGCTGCGATTAGACTTGACAATCAGGACGGCAGTAGATCAACGGAAAACGTCCTGGTAGGGCTTCCTTAATGTAACGCCCGCCCGGTCGTTGTCGGCGAAGATGGTTAGAAATGAAGAAAAATTGGCTACGGAACGGCCTCAAGAAAACGGATAAGGTGGAATATTTCACCAGCCAAAACGTACGACCTACAGCTGTATTCGATAGCAAGGGCACAGTCGCAGTGTGACCAACACTGAAAAAACGGTCGCCGTCCAATACGCTGATAACGAACACCGGTGATAATATCGCAAATGGGCCACCACCACCACTCGTCAATCTATGTATTCGCCGCCACTATCACTTAAGATAATCAATCCGACTATCAGCGTATTCTGTTCGTGACCTTAAATAAAAATTGTGGGACAAACGTAGTATTATTATAATTTATAGTCTTATAGAATATCTAAAGCTCTGAACTTGAGCAATCGAAAAACATTCGCTACTACAAATTTTTTTAATACGGTATTAGGTGCAGACATTGATTTTTTTAATTTACCGAAGATCGAGGATAATATTATAATTTATAATTATCCTAATAATATTATAATATTATAATTTGTCATGATTATTATAGTAATATAGTATGTTATCTAATATGGTTTTAAAAATTTGATTTGTTTTTAATTGTGTCAAGTTCAACGAATAGGAATTAAGCCACAAAAATACTTGAGTTTTTCCTCAACATTATTTTACCTATACATTTGCTTATAAATTGCACAATTGACACTAAATTTTTTTTTAATTATTCGTTTTCTTGAATAAAAAAAATAATATTTGTTTTATCGTAATTATTTGTAATTATTTGTAATTTGTAACATTTTTATTTTACTACATCAATTAATTAATGATTTTATTTAACAATTATAGTAGTAAAAAATTTGGAGTATTTTATTATATTTTATAACATTGTTATTAAACAATGATTAATTAATTAGTAGAAATATTATTGATTTAAAAAAATATCGCTGCATCTTCAGAAGTAAATAGATAATAATAATATATGAAATCCACCACGTTTTGACATTTATATAGTTTTCGTAAATAATTTTTTATTTTTCTATAAAAGTTAGATATATTTATATCTAAAATAATTATTGTCTTATTATATTATTAGTAAAAGACATTTTTCTCCGTTAGCTTATTTAATAGGTAACATAATGTAAAGTTTACATTGTAAACATTATAAATAATATAATTGTATTGATCAATAACTTCATCGTTGATGCAAAATTATGTAGGTACCTATATGCTAATTAAATATTCACATACCTACTATAATTTTAAATTAATAATAATAATAATAATAATACTATATAGGTAGTCTGATAGTATTTTTATGTATTTAATATAATAATATTGTACCTATCACTATAATTATTATTATTGTAATATATAAATTCATTATGATGACACACGTACTTAATACTATATTTTTTTTTCATAGGTCATTTATACTGAACATTCAAATATAAATATTTTTTGAATTTTAAAAACATAAAAATTTATTATAGGTGGCCTAAGTATAGTTGAAAAATTTAAATTTTTTTTTTTTTTTTAATATTTTCATCTGACTAAGTAGTAATTTACTATACAAAATAATCCTTTTTGACATGTATAAAAATCTTTACTGAGAACAGTTGCCTTAATGTGGTAGTACGAATACCTAATTATCATTATTAAAATATGTTATAAGTTCTTGAAGATATTAAACAGAGCAAAAACAAAAATTAATCAAATTAATATGACATATTAATATATTATGTAATATAAATATCGGCATAGACTAGTATACATAAATTAGTAAAAATATTTTTTCAATATAATTTTTTGTTTAGCAATCTGTTTTGATTTAAACGATAAGCTTAATTGAAATAATAATAAATGTCTTAGGAATAATGGATTAAAAAAACCTCCCATTTGACATATTTCATTAAAATAAAGCAAAAAAAAAATCAAATATGTATATATACACGTATTACTCAAAATATTATAAAGTTAATTTTTTAGTTTAATTTAATAAAATGTATATAATAGTTATCCACTAAATTAGGCATGTTATTTCTTTTCGAAATGATAATATCAGAGAGGTAATTAATGCTGCATTATATTTATAGTGTGCATAAAAATATAATATATTGTTAAGATTACAAATTCAATTTGATTTATAGAAAAAAACAATTTTGGTCCAGGTATACATCCATCGTATATTAGTGCACACTTAAATACTGGCTACGCATATCTGTGACCTCTTGTATTATAAAGTTAGGTTAGTAATAACGTAATATTGAAATTTAAAGATAAAACATTTACCCTTATGTATAATAATATACCCACCCATATATACACAAACAAACAAATAATCGATTTGTAATTAATATTATCACGAAAGTCGAGCGATAACATCGGGAAATGGGTGTGTACTTAACATGTTTTATTTGAAAACGTGCGAATGTGACTGTCATCAAACTTTTTTTTTAACTTTTTGTTTTTAAATAAATACATACTATATTTAATCAGTATATTGAATTATATAAATATATATATATGAGATTATCAATGTGTTTTTCTGATTTAATTTAGTCTGAAACGGATTCTCTAAATTTTAAGCTTTTCGATTAGAAAATATTAATTAACAATACATTAGTAAAATTTTATAATATGTATCCAACTATGTACATTCTAGTATACATTCTAGAATTTATTATGTATAATTAAAAACAAATTGAACAATAAAATAAAATCATAAAAAAACCGGCATGAAATATTGTCACGGATTAAATATCATATTATTGTTTCTAATATTTGTCTTCATTTATAAAAATTTAACTTTCACTTGACAGTTATAAGACTTCACAAAGACAAAAAAATTTTTAAAACATTAATTAAATTTTTTTAAATATATACTATTATTATAAAAGTTAGTTTTAAATTATAATATTAATACTATAGTATTAAGCTATATAGTATGTTGCGGTAGTATAGAGTGTGTAAATGTGTTAAATTTTATGTAACATATTATAAAAAATGTTTAGTATTATTTTTTTAATACAATTATCTATTTAAATAAATTATATAAAAATATCATATATAATTTTTTTTTAACATTAGAATTTTATAAATATTTAATAATTATTAATATTATAATCAAAAAGGAGAAAAATAGATAACTGTTCTGCTATACGGTATAGGTGACGAGTATAGCTTATTAGTTATTGCCATTGATATTACCATTGAGTAAGTCATATGGTAATAGATATGTTAAATTTTAATTTAATTATAGATTATATTGAATACGAAAAATGGTTGTAAGCAGAGACTAACGCTTATATAACAAAAAAAATGTAATTATAAATTTTTGAAATTTTTAAGCTATTTTTAAAACAAATTACTTGGAATTTTGTATTAATTTTTTAAGCTTTTTAGCTATTACATATAGTTATATTATTATACATTTAAGTTTTTGATTTTAGAGAAAAAGTCAAAAAGTAGCTAACTGTGGAAAAAATGTTGACCGTGTTTTTAGGATCAACCGAGTACTTTAATCAGAATCGTTTTTCATTATAATATTTTATCATCGGTTCCAAATCAAATTTTCTAGCAACAATTAGAATAGAAACACTCTAGGCTCAAATGGTTAGCGATCAACTAGTGCGCAATACTTTTCAATACTTTATTTTTGTTGCATTATTTTTTTACGTGTACCTATATTTGTGGAATGTACCGTATTAAACGAGTCATCTTTTGTATGACTTGTATTTATGCCGTATTTTTTAATAATAATTTTTGTTTAGAGTGAGTAGTCGATACATAACAGTAACTTTGTTGAATCATACAAAACTGCAATAAAAATATCAATTGCAGTAATAAGTCTTTTACAATAAAATTAATGTTTATACGACTTTGAAAAAAATTAATATCAGGCAATATTTCACGGTTGACTGACAATTGCAATAATTTTTGTTCTATTGAACATTTTAGCTTTTTTTTTTATTAAATTATCAATTGTAATTTGCGCTACATTTAAATTTATTTTTCGATTTTTTTTTTCAATTATTAATTAAAAAATTAAAAAAATTTCTATTCGATATTTAAAAAAATCAAAATAGCCACTTTTTTGATATAATTTTTAAAACATGTTCGCAAAAAAAAAAAAAATGAAAAATGTTCAACCGTTTATTTTCTACGATTTTTTGAAGTTTGCACAATTTTAAATTATTTCAAATAGATTTTCTGGATAATCGATAATCGATAATCGATAATCGCTGTAACATTGATAAACAAGAAATAAATTTGAATTTAAGCAAACTTTAAAAATTATTGACTCAACCTTAGAAAAAACTTAAGATACCAAAGTTTTTCTAAAAATCGGATTTACAAAATAGCTATCTTGATTTTTTTTAAATATTTTTTAATTTTGCATACAAAATGTTAGAAAAATCGAAAAATATTTTAAAGGTAATGCAGACGACAATTATTGACAATTAAAAAAAAATAGTTGAAAATGTTCAATTGCAATTGTCAGTTTATCGTGAAACACTCTGTATGTACTATATGTATAAATAAGTGAACTCGAAATAACATTATTTTTACAAAATAATGTTTAAAAGTATTGTACTATTTATATTAAATTATTATTATGCAACTAGTACCGGCATGAGATAATAAAAATTAATTTCGAGTTTTGTATTGAAAGTTTTAACGAATGGAAAATTTGTTCACGTCACAAGATATAACTGAGATATATTTGAAACAAGATGAATAATACCTATTCAACTAACAGTTCTTCATCTTTGTTTCATTCCGTTACCTCAGCGGTTCTCGCTAGGATTTTAGAAAGAGCTAAATGCAATTTTTGAAAATGACTAGCGGTCCGCATACATTTTTAATGATAATAAATAAAAATAATAAGATAAGATAAAAAATAGCGACAGTAGTACACGACATAATTTAATCATTTTATCATATATATAATAATAATAATCGAAATTACAAAATAAATATTTTATTTTATTCGCTGTTCATAGAATTTTGGATTTTTGAATGTAAAATGTAATTTTAGTGCGGGCCACAAACAACATTGTGGAGAACGCTGCGTTACTTCGTTGTTGATTTTGCAATCGAATTTTTTCAATATAAAATA